TACGCAACACGTCCATTTGCAATATTACCTCGTATGCAATGTCCTCAGCAATAATCACAGATTGTTTCTGTACCTGGCCCGCTAGTGATATTGCAGCGACCGTCGTCCCCAGGATGGATATCGGCGTACCGTTGGCCGCAGTGAGACGTTCAAAACATGGACTCACTGTATACCCCTTCAATTTACGCATAACCGAACTTTTAATGAGTGACCGGGAGGCATCTGTATCTATCAGCGCTAGACATATAAGATTAAAAATTGCTAGTTCGATCATCAACGTGTCCTGGTTATTCGACTGGCAGCAAACAGTGGGGACATTCAACGTTTTCTTTTGATTGGACTCATCAGGTTTTCGTCCACGGTAGTTGAATATCCTGTTATGCCAACGGGCTGGTGGTCTGTGCTGGAACCGCTAGTTGGGCCGCCATGGTCGTCGCATTCCTCGGATTCTGTGTTACGCCTGATGTCCGACTTCTTGCGCATCATCGTGTACGACCACTAGGCATTCTCGCGGTGCTGCTGTGGCCGCCTCCAGCTTCTCCAGATCTTCTACAGGTTTGACAGCCATCTCCAAGTCCGATGGTGAGTTCAGGAGCAGCTGCCGTCATACGTTATTGGATCTGGACCCCTCGACTATCTGTTCCAGCAGCTTCTTCTCCAATTCCGAGGGCGAATCATTTTCCCATTCTCTGCTGGCCAGTCGGCGCAATTCTCGCACAAAACTTCGCATGCCCTGGCCGTCGTATTGGTGCCGTGCGTTGAATTGCTTCCTATAATCCATGGGAAGCAGGGGTGAATCCAGCAACCGTCGAAGGCACGCAAATGTTTCTTCTGTAACGCCTCCACTCATGCGTTCTGCCTCGGTCACCACATCGAAGGCCTCTCCACCAAATACGGATAACTCCAAATTGGAATGACGTTCAGGTGAAAACTTTTCCCATGGTGAATTGTTTTTCTAATCGTTCCGTCAGCGCCCTCAGAACGTTCGCCAGCTGCGTGCCACCTGTGTCCACCGTCTGTGCGGTCGCGTCTTCACTTTTCGGAGTCTTCGGCATATTCAGGGCTTTATCCTGGCAGGGTCGCCAATGTTGTGTCACGAGAGAAGACTCGTAAAGAATCAGGAAATTGTATTGTACGTAACGGCGCTAAAAAAGGTAAATAGAAAAGTGTACATGAGGGAACTCGACATTACGTGAGCCTTCAACTGTCTCCGGGTTCTTCTTCTGTGGTTTGGCAATCCTCCGCTGTTGCGGTAATGATTGGATAAGCTGCAACGCAAGGGGAAGGCGGCTTCGTCAGAACCTCACGATTCAAAGTGCCCGGTCTAATTTAAATAATGATTTCCTCTACATGATATTCTTCATGAATCCCAAAGAGAATCTTGAGTGAAGTACATGCAAAATCGTGGAATTTTACCAGAACAGTGAAGATGTTCATGCGGACGTATAATGAAGTTTCAAGAGGTTGCCCGAAGCCGCGACGGGTTTTTCTGTTGTACTATCTGTAAACGTTGATTATTAATTTGATCGGGTACCCTCTTTGATAAATTTCATTTGTCGTTGTCTACATTATTGGAGCTGATTATTTTGTCGGTATGGATGAACCTGTCACACGACCGGCGGCTATCTCATTTGGGAACATCTAGAGGAGGTCCAGTATAGCATGTGGTTTGATTTCTGCATACAAACTGTGCCAAACGACATCGAAACCTATTTAGGACATATAAAGTAATTTAACATGTGTGAATCCTTGTTAATAATAATTTATTATTGAGTAAATATTTTTTTTCTCATATGCGCTTGTTGCCTGTTTGTGCTATTCATTATACTACTTATGAGTTATAGATTGTTGATTGAATAAATTTTATTCTATTGGGTGCTGAAGGGCAACCTGCGCCATTCTCTTCGCAACATCCGTGCGGCACTCTTCGCTGAAACACGAATAAGATACTACTGGCATAATTCAACCAAAAAAGATTACAAATAGAAATTCGTAATACTCCTAAGAACGTTAANTGCACTGATACCGGAGCACTTTGGATGGGCCCATCTCTTGCACACTTCGCGCTCAATCCCCTTAAATACGCCTTTCCCGCATTCCTTATTGAGGCATGGATAGGATACTCGTGGCATAATTCAACCAAAAAAGATTACAAATAGAAATTCGTAATACTCCTAAGAACGTTAACTACCGGCAAACTACACAGCAAAGGCAAAACGGGGAAAACGATGCGAAACTAGTTACTTCGGAGAATATTAACTCCGGATAACAAAATAGAACGCTGGTTATACTGAAGCTGCGTAAAACTTGCAAAATTAACGGTATGTCACTGCAACAAGGATAATGTTAACCACAACATAGAACGCTGAAATATATCTAGTGGAGTACGATTCATTTTTCAGTAGACCGCTCGTGACGCCAAATATATTATTGAGGGTAGAACTGAACGACAATCGCTCCCAAGTAAAATTTGTTATTACGTTATTCAAATGAGTAAATTTTACATGAGAAAATTTCCCGTGAAATATATAATGCAAAATTGAATTATATATTTCACGGGAAATTTTACATTTTAAAATGTAAAAGGTGCATGCATGTGCACATGTACATTTTACATTAAGGAAATAAGATTTAACGTTATCATGTAAACAATAAATCAAATATCTCTAATTCGTTTATATAGTGTAAGAAAGCCATTTCTCTTCTAAGGGGAACATATTTTGAAAATTCGAAGATGCCTGCTGGTGGAGTTGATAAGATATTTCTGCTGGAAGTTGCTGTTGTGCTTGTCAGTACCATGTGTCGTTTGTCCCAAGAGTCAGTAATAGAGCGGTACGTGTTCTGCCGTGAAATACGTTACCCCAAACTGCTTTCACTCAACCAAAGGCTCGGTGTTCCGTCCAAGATCGTCGATTTTGACGAAACTGTTATGAATAAATGCAAATATGGTCGTGGAAGACCATCCGAAACTGTTTGGGTTTCCGGTATGTATGACCGTTTCGAAGCGAAGGGATATTTCGGAAAGGTAGACAACCGATCGGCAAGCTCCCTTTTGCCGATAATCCAACGATGGATTATGCCAAGATCCATGAGTTACTCCGATGAGTGGGCCGCCTACATAACACTGTCGTCCTTGAGAAACACTCAATTGACGGTGAATCATTCTCGAGGATTCATCAACCAAGCGACACAAAACATCGTGGAGGGATAAAGAGAAGAATGAAGGCAATTCCCGATTCCGTTGGTGACCGGAGGTCGAAACAGTTGGATGAGGTTCAGTACCGCTACTGTTTTCATTTCTGTCCCTTAACCATTGAAGTGGACAAGGAAACTTTTTTTAAAAATATCAGTGAACGCTATCCGATCGACTAGGGTGCATATTTATAATTTTGAAGTATTTTTTTACGTTAGTACCCTTTTTATAATCACTTTCGGTTATTCTGTTATGAGACTGATATGTCAGCGTGACTATATTACTTGTAAGTAGTCAGTATATTATTGCGAATTTCCCCTCTCGTTTAGTTTTACCGTATTGAGAATAGCATTCGAAACGGAGATCCCGAATTCGCGCAATACCAATTCCCAAATTAGAACAGCTTTGAATCGAATAGCAAACGTACTTTATTCGAATCGTATACTATGCATATTCAATGCATTTAACGTGTATATGGAATTTTTCGAGGTCAGTGTCACACATCACACTTAATTCCGTCATTAAGCGCGTTCCAGTCAGTGCGCAAAATGTGCTGAAGTCCATGGAAAGATAGTAAATTCTCAACCAACCTTCAGCTGATTCAGCCCAAAAAACCAGATCTCTACCCCACCGCATGAGAGATATGAACCCTAAGTAGTGACCACTTGAGAACTGATTGGATTACGCGTACCCTGTTTATGACATATCGTGAGTATAGTTAGAGTGTTCGCCATGCACTCAGAGTCGTATTGTCGTTCTCTTCGTGGGACCCATAAGGATGTTTACCAGATGTTCACCATTAATATGGGCACAAGACTGCTTGCATATATGCAAGTATGGGTATGAATGTGTGCACGTTTGCGTATGATAGAACGTATTCGTGGCTATAGGCACAAGCACGTCGGGTGGTATGAAAAATGTGACACGCAATTACGGGCGAGGGCAATCAAGAGTAGGCTAAGGTGACTGGATTCTGCTTTTTCGCTTTACATGCTTATACCAGTCCCTTCCAGATAAACGTTCAAGTGTCCCTACTGGATCGGACTAAAGAAAATACCGCCATGTGAGGCGAGAATTTCAAAAGCTGTCGAAGCTCATCGAGAACACTAGAGCTCGATTGCGCAAGAAACTGGACGCTCGTTTGACATCAGTCACGAGTCCTTTGACCTGACCTCACCTGAAATCCATGTGAAAATATAGGGTTAATAGAGGATTCACGAAGCGAGCTTCACTGATCGCTGCGAAGCTCACAATGTACACGAATGAAGTGATAAAGCTCAAGATGGAGAAGGATTGGGCCTGCTTGGAGGGAGGCAAAGAAGAAGAACTCCGATGTTCAACACACAGAGTACATAATCTAAGTGTTCATGCATACATTCTCAAGCATTCTGACTCGTGAAATAACAACAAGAACACCACGGCTGTCGGTTAATCGCCATATCCTTTATTGTCTTCAGCCAACCAGTTGCACAGTCCTTCGGACCACAACCTGGAAGACGGAAGACACCGATTCTACCTAATCGTTCGTGCATTTCTTCATGCTTTGCTCCCACGTCATCTGTTGACCACCACGCGGTTTCTTCCCACCCGGGGCCGAAACTGCGAATAAGGCGCGGTGCGTCAGATGATGGCCTGACATGCGCAATATGTGTCCTAACCAGCGAAGCCGACTAATTTGAATTCGATGGGGATTATAGACCAGAGAATTGTCCGCCTCAGGGCCGAAAACTGGAAACGGAATAATCTGAAATACTGCAGAACATCCCAATTAGTAATGTTTATGTAGCTCATTGTAGCTGGCTTTTAGCGCGCTATTAGCTTAATAGTGGCCTATAAATGCGTTAAACGTTTGATGAAGTAGCTCATTTGTAGCTCAAACGTAGCCGGTTATTAGCGCGCTATTAGCGAATGACATGCTACCCGGGTACTAACCCAGACTTAACACTGAATACCGTGGCCTTTTGCCACATTATATTCGTCTTTCATGACCCCGAAGTGTGGATTGCAGCATAAGAGCTGCAGTTTGCTCATGGAAATGTTACGAATCATATACCATATTCGTGTTGGCGCTGGAAGCAGTTCCTGGTAATCCGTTATCATCCGTAATAATAATAAAAGTATATTTCACGAAATCCCGTGAAGCATGCAGAAGCATGTTCATAACGGACTTGATATTAAATCCTCGTCAAGACTTTCCTTTTGATACACTGGAAGCGGCCGTTTTTGACACATTTCTCCCATCGAGGGAGGGGAGACTGCGGAAACTACTAACATATCACACGATGGGTGCTGACTAGAAGCTCATCATGGCTGGCGGTAGTCGGGCCATTTTAACATTAGGCTCCAGAATACAAAAGTTTACGTTAAAATCTACGATAATCCCCGGATGAAATGTGCAGCTGCAAATGCACAAAACTATAATCATCTGATTGCTTGATTAAACCTTATTCAAACATAAACGTGTTCAGTTTAGCTTTAAGTTTGACCTGTTCAAGTATGGTGACTTCACTCTCACTCTCTCACTGAATGTGAAGTCTTTATTTTGCATTATCTGTTCCAACCATTCTAAAGACATTTATTTTCTCAGTGCATGTATCCTTCCACTGTCCATAGCACTGCCCACGCCACCGCATAAGGCACACAACAGCATCACGCTAGGTCCACCAGTTCACGTCCGTTTCGTATGACAGCCTTGGATAGTTTGCGCAACACACGCCGAAAAATTCAGCACATGCTGAACATTGGTATCATACGACCCATCAAACGCCCGTCGGCATCTTCTCTACATATAGTCCCCCAAATGTCGTCCAACGACTGGCTTTCATGTGGAGATCATCGTGTGCTCAATCACGTGTGAACCCCGGGTAGGCAACTGATTCCAAACATTACAGACCCTACGTTAGATCCGGCGGGCATGACTGTAGTCAGGCGCATCGACCTGCGTTGCTCAAGCAACCAGATAACGGCAGCAAAGACCACAATCCTCAGAACAGCGGTGGTCACACTGTTTCGTCTATTTCAGTTCATCCAGATTCCGTGCAGCTCAATCAACGCAGCACAGTTCTTCCTTAGTTTCATCTTTCACTTATGTAAAGTTTTCAACTTCATATCCATCCAATCATACAGTATTCTGGTTGCTAGTTCATCGCATGAGGAAAATCTGGCGTGCCTCTGAGCATGTGTTGACTGTTTGGCACAGCATAGTGTCATGGCCAATGCACAAACATGTGACCTAGGAGCTTCCAACATAGA